GGGGGGGGAACCGATGTGGGACGCAACACAGAAGAGGGGCAGTGTGTGTGGGATTGTGGGAGTAGCTCATAGTACTCAGTACCGGGCTATTGATGACGTATTCAATGTCACAGCAATTCAATAAATACAACTTATAATGTATCACTGCCAGCCTGTGATTGTGTTATTGATTAGGATTCTGATCAATATCCTATAAGACAACTTCAGCACAGAGGGAGGCGGTACCATCACTTACCTTAAAGTGGACCTGTCATTGCATATATTTTGTTTACGACTTGGTAAGTGAGCGGGTTCAGAAAGGGAAGATGTGTCCTCATATACCGTGTTTCCCCGAAAATAAGACACTGTCTTATATTTTTTTTGGCTCAATAAAACACACTAGGTCTTATTTTCGGGGTAGGTCTTATTTTTTTTAATGTATAACAATCCAAAGTTAATGCAAATCCAAATTAAATAATCCAAAATGGCAAAGTTAAGAATAGGGTGATCAGGGCAATACAGGTTGCCATACCTTTCCAAGAGCAATTTGGTAACCAGAATGAGGGAAGCACACTTTCACTATGGATTCCTCACAGGTGGAGTGCATTTGGCATCACTCCACCTGCGACACGAGCTGGCGCTATAGAGGAAACATCGGCTCATGCGGCTCTTCTCCCTCCGGTGCAGCCTCGCTTCCTCTAGTGCTGGCTTTGTTGGCACCGCTGATTCTCTCCCGCGGCTCTTCAAGTTCCCCCTTATGCCACCACCGGCCTTGGGAAAGGTCACAACTGGGTCTTATTTTTGGGGTAGGTCTTATATTTTAGCAATTCCCAAAAATAGTACTAGGTCTTAATTTCGGGGTAGGTCTTATTTTCGGGGAAACAGGGTATGTACAATAAATGATAAAAAATAACAAATGCAAAAATAAACAACTTTTATCTGATGGATCCGGAAACGGCGCTAATACAATACTGCACATGGGGAAATCAACTTTAAATCTTAAAGGAGAACTATGAGGTCAGTGTTTTTCCCCATAGTTCTCTTTAGGGTCACGGGAGGACATACAGTAGCCTCCTCCCGTGACCCTAGGCTCACTATATAGCAAGCTATTGCCTGCAATATACTGACAGCGACGCAGCCGGGACGGGACCCCACAATACTGTTGAGATCCACCCAGCTGCTTGAGTGACAGCTGGCTCTGCCTATCCAGAGGCAGCTGTGCCCGTCCCCTCCTCCGTCCGTTCCGCCAGTCAGTGCTAGTGGATCGGAGAAGGGAGCGGGAATCCCTGCGGGGAGCCGTGATTGACAGTCACCACTCTCTGCAGGGAGACGATCGAGAAGTGAGCGGATCGGCGGCATGTTTCTGCTCACTTCCCGATCAATAGAGCCGACCTGTGAGAGCTTCCATGTCCCAGTTCGGTTCTAACTATGAGGGAAATCACTCACCTCATACTTCTGCTTTAAAGGAGAATTATGAGGCGAGTGATTTTCACTCATCCTAATAATCTGAGCCGACCTGTGACAATGAGACTGTCACACATCGGCTCAGTAGATCGGGAAGTGAGCGAACACATACCAGCGCTCGCTTACTTCTCGATCTATCCATGCAGAGAACCGGGACTGTCACTCACGGCTCCCTGCAGGGATTCCCCCCCACCCGCTCCGATCCTCCAGCGCTGACTGGCGGAACGGACGGGGGAGGGGGCGGGCACAGCTGGCTCTGCCTCTGGATAGGCAGAGCCAGCTGTCACTCACGCAGCTGGGTGGATCCAGACAGAATTGTTGGAAACTGTTCCCGCTGCGGCGTCTCAGTATACCAGGAGCTGTAGCTCCCTATATACTGAGCTTAGGGTGACGGGAGGATGCTAGTTTATGTTCTCCCGTTACCCTTAGGAGAACTATGGGGAAAAGCCCTAACCCCATAGTTCTCCTTTAAGTTACACACAGCAGCGTCCGCCTCCTCCGAGCGTGGCCGCCATATAATAATAATAACACATTCCAGGAGGTGATCGTTACCATCTTTATAAATATTCTCTGTAAGAACTTTTTACAACATTGTACGCAATTCTGCTCTAAGCATGTCATTAACAAGAGAGCCAGTAGAGGGCGGCATACACCACCCCTCATATCAGGTGGAACGTCTGCTCCCAATGCAGCTGGTCTGATCACCGTCAATGGTCTGCCGCACACACAGGAGGTGGTTGGATAGGTATTGCGCAATCAGTCAGCCTGAGCAGATGTATGCATAAACATGCGCACACCGATCGCCCGCATGGGCATGTGTATAGACCCAGACACCTCTTTTATCTCATGGTAGAATCAGTATTGAGTGGTTGACTATATTCAACTCCGTCCGCCCCCACCCCCCACCCCAAGACATGTCATCTGGCGGTGTCTGGGGGGCAGATAAATAATACTGAGCACAAACATTTCTATGTTCCTTATTTATGCAACTTTTTGCCTCATTTTTTTCAGTACAAACAATTGTCGGCGTTACACTGACTGTAGTATTCTCAGCTGAACCCACAACACCGGTACTCCCGATTCCACATGCGAGTTAGCAGCGCTCACCTGTGCGCCAGCCTAGTTCTGTGACTGCGGAGTAAACTTGGAGGCCGTAGGTGACCATGAAGCACTTCTGGACATTGGGTAAACACTAAGGATGCACCGATACCGATACTAGTATTGGTGCCGATACCGAGTATTTGGGCAAGTACTCGTAGTCACCCAAATGCTCCGATACCAGAACTTCCGGTCAGAGGAAAATTTCCTCTCGGCAGTGCCGTAGGTGAACATGGAGCCGGCTTCCCGGACAATCAGGAAGCCGGGTTGCGAGTAATGACCCGCCTCCCAACAGCAGGTTCCTTGTTGATTGGCTGGGGCTTCCCAGCCAATCAGCATTGAGCCGGGAAGCCGGGCGGCAGGTAATGACATGCCGACCGGCTTCCTGATTGCCCGGGTAAGCCAACTCCATGCCATCGGATGCACTGGTATCGGTACTCGGTATCGGCGAGTACCAAAAGTAAAATATTGGTATTTTATACCCACAAAAAACGGTATCGGTGCATTCCTAGTAAAAACTAGGACTAGGGAGAATCAAGAACCATAATGGTTGGCTCAACGTACAAAGAAACTTGTATTATTGTAAAGTAAAATGGCAACACATTTTGGAGGTATGCAGAAGACCCCCCCC